AAACCTTAACCAGTCAAAATGCTTCTAGTTCCTGGTCTTCACGTCTTATATACCTTTCTGCTATCTGCTATCACCCTGGGATTAAAGGCTCGCTTTCTGGGATTAAAGGTGTGAGTCACCATGCTTGGCTGTATCTTGAACATATGGATTTCTGCCTCTGGAATGCTAGGATTAAAGGCATGTGCTACCACTGCCTATCCTCTATGTTTAATATTGTGGCTGTTCTGTCTCTGACCCCAGATAAGTTTTATTAGGGTGTACAATATTTCAGGGAACACAATACCACCACAGCAATAGGTCACTCCCTGGTACAAACTTTTGTATTAGTTACTTTTCTACAGCTGTGATAAAACACCATGACCATGGCAACTTACAAAATAAAAAGTTCATTTGGCATTATATTTACAGAGAGCTAAGAGTCTATCACAGCAAGGAGTTGTGACCGCAGATAACATACATAGCAAAAGGAACAGCTGAGAGCTCACATCTTAAATCACAACAGAAAGGGATGCTATTTATTCATGCTATTAGCATGTATGCAATTTCATTTTCCATGTTGATCCTGGAACAGGGGAACTTGTGTCAAACTGGAGTTAATGGCTTCCAGTCACCATGCCACAAGGTCCTTTTTTATTTGCTATTTCCATTCAAGTTGAATTAAGTTTGTTCCTTTATTGCTTTTAGTTGTCTTATAGCATTTTGGTTATTGTTTTGAGGCATTTTGAAGGGATCTGTTAGAAGTAATTTAGCAAGAATAATTCATTAATGAGTTATGTGAGGATATTCAGATGTCCAACAGATCCATCATAAGATGGCTTCACAGATATGGATCTGAGTTCCAAAATGGTCTCAGAAGAATTAACTTCTGCAATTCCTAAAATGCACTTAAGGTAATTGTAAGTTCTTCTGCAGGAGGACTGTGTGTCACCATGATGCTGCCACCATGTCACTAGTGATCCCTGAGAATAGCAGCAACATCCATAGGCAGCAAACAGTAGCCATTGTCATTGGTGCCATTGTGGGTATGGGCAAAAGGTGCACTTGTGTGGTGTCAAGAGAAGGGAACACTGACCTCACTAAAAGGGCTGGAAAGCTCATTGAGGACAAAGTGGAACATGTGATTGCCATTATTGTGAATCCATGCTGGTACAAGATCCCACATCATTTTCTGAGAGAAATGATGGAAAATAAAATCAAGTTCTGGAATAATTATCTGAACAACAAGCTCCATGAAGACCTGGAATAACTGAAGAAGACTAGAGTCCAAATTGGGCTTGCCATCTCCATGGCCCTTGTGCTAAGGCTAACACAGCAAGACCATTGGCCACATTGACTGTATGGTGGGGGTACTCAAGGAGAATTAAGTGGGTAAGCCTTGCCTGTTACTAGTTTATATATAAAAAGATATTATTTATTTATTTAAGTAAATAATATTCTTTCTGTATGGGCAGGTTAGAGTTGTAGAAATGAAAGTTTATATAATTTGGGGATCTGTCAAGATCAGGTACTAGGTATTTGTTGAGCTAAGGAAGATTTTAGCAAAACAGAAATTTAAAAGTTGAAAAAGCAACATCACAAAATCCACCAACACATTCATACTCTTCAACATTGCCTGTATTTTGGTTACTACCTTTCAAATGTCTCTTCAGGTAACAAAAATTATATAATATCAGTGTTTATAGAAATTTCTGAAGCATCATTCTATAGTGATTAATCTTCTTTTTAATCCCTAGTATCATAGGCACTGGCAGAGTTATAATAGATGGAATAATTTTTTACACATGAGTTTCTGGGTTTGCACATTTCACGTGCTATCTCTACTACCCACCATCCTCCAGTGACAGGTGCCACCTTAGGAATGCCTGTCCACATCATAAAGATGTGTGGTGGGAATAGTGCTCAATGCTTTCCTTTACCAAGATATCCAGCACTAACTTACCACTAAACCAGTACCAAATACATCTCCAACAAGTGTCCTCACAAATGCCCATAGCCAATGTCACTATTGCCTTACCAAAGAGAAGAGTTGGAAGTAGAGACAGAAATAGGAACCGGAACAGATCCAGACAACTGTACTTACAGAATCTCAATAAACATGCCATCAGATGGATATTGGGTTGGGGGGCACATCTCACATGGGCATTGAAGGGCTCTGTGTCTAGCTGTTGGAGGATGCATTCTGAGGGATATTATTGCTCACCACCACTCATTAAAAGGTGCTTTCTACATCACCTACCCTCCTGTTGGGTGTTTCTCTTGTGTAGACAAGAATAAGGAAGTCCTGTTTAAAGATAAGAGCAAAGGAGAAACATCGGGGCACAGAGTATGGAAAGGAATAAGAAGACTCTGCTACATTTGAGGAAAATTGGAAGTCTCAGGTAGTGCAATCAATTTTCTCCAAGGAGAAATAGGGAACCCTCCATGAATGAAGAGATATCACGAGAGATCCCACTTGCCAGTTTGGTGCTAGAAGGGCCAGTCTTCACTAGCATTCTCCTCTTCACCAAAAAAATCCCTCAGTAGCATGGGAGATGGGCTAGGATTGGGAAAAAGTTTATGGAACGAGGGAGGAATAGAGACACTGAAGGAAATCTCAAATAGAAGTCAGTGCTCTCACCTGGGACAGCCACTCCCATGACTACTCATAAAGATGTCACAGACAGGAAAAAATAGTGCCTCGTTGTAGATACTTCACACACACCAGGAAAAAAAAAGTTCCTCAGGTTTGCAAACTGAAGGACGTATAAAGAAAACTGAAGGGCTAGTATAATGTCAAGGTTAACATTTTAATTGCATAAAACACAGAGAAAGCCTACGCTTGTCATTTTCACAAGGTTACCTTTCCTGTACAATGTAGGCTTTTATCCAACAACTATATATGAGTTAGTGACATGACACAGGATGTGACTTACATAAATGGGAGAGCCCACACTCTTTTCTTCTGTATAGCTCCTTCAGAAGACACCATCAGGTAGCTAAGCTGTGCCCTTTTAAGCCTTTCTTAGCAGGTAAGAAATGCATATATCTGTGTCATTTTGTAGTTGTGAATGCATGGAGCCTAATTCTCCCACGTTATGCCTAGCCTCATGGTGCCCGGAGTCCCATTGATTTCAAAGAGGGTTTTGCAGGTGGAGTGAGAGCCAAGCGGTGCAGAATTTAGCTCTTTGGGGTGAATGATCACATAACAAAAGACTGCTGTAACCCTTCGAGAAGGCAAAATTAAGGTTGCTGTTGCACCTTCATTCTGAATTGGCAGAATCTAGGGCAATCCAGAGTCTGTAGCCCCACCATGCAATACTTCACAGTGTTCTACTGTGAGCAGAAAAAGAAAAAGAAAAACATTTGTAATGGATGGAAAGCCTTTCAGATCTGTGCATTGGATCAAAATATGAAGAAAAAAAATCCCATGTCCTAAGGTTGAAAAGTAGTCAGAATAAATTTTTAAACATTGCACACACTCAGGAAAGTACCTACTGTGTAAAAGGCATGAAGGTCACCCATAAGCACAAACTTAATAATAAGACTCATATTTCATTTCCTTACACACCAAAATGAAGATCAGCCCTCTTGAACTGGACTGTTTTCAAAATGAGGAAACTATTGTCTATCAGTTTGTTCTTTATGACGTCAATGAAGTGCAATGCTAAATGCCATGTGCATAGCATCTGAGTTCTGCCCTCCCACTCCGAAGGAAGGCAGGACTGTTGCCATCCCACAAAGTCAAACAAATTCAAACATGAGTCTGGAGTGACTGAAGGAGACAGCCGTATCAGAAACCCCTTTCCCTCAGAACAGATTCTTCTGCCAGCATCCTGCTAAAGAGTGTGCAGACCTCCTTGCAAACTAATCTAATCCATTTTCTTTGTTGTTGTTGCCACAAGAAAATACCTATAAAAGGAAAGACAATTTAATTCACATTGTTGGAGGGTAAAAAGACAATATCCAGTGGCCTGATCAGTTTGGCCTCTGATGAAGGCTTCATGAAGATGATGCTACAATGATAGCTATGTGTATGGTAGAAATTACATGTAAGGCAGGTAAGATACAAAGGAGTTTGTCATAACTCTTTTTCAAAGGTAACTTGCTAGGATCCCACAAGAATTCAATCCCTTTCAAGGTAGCACCTGAAGATATAAGCACCTCACACTAAGCCCTACCCACTCCCTCCAAATTCTACTGTCTATCAACGCAGTGACACTAAGGACCAAGCTTATCACACATGAAGTTTGGGAGGACCTACTCAAACCATATCTAAAGCGTAACAGGTAGGGTGAAGAAATGCAGAGCAATGAAGGCTTGCCTGCCCAAGGTCACAGCTGACCCCTTTCTCTGTCTCCCTACTCAATCTACAAAGTGCCCCAGCCTTAATCTGAACCTCTGAGGGCCACATGATCTTGATAAGGAAAGAAAAGAGTGCTGGAGAACTGACAGAAAAGAGTGGCGACCTAACAAGTGTTATAGATGTGAAAAGTAGTCATGGTTCTCCTATACAAAAAAAAAAACAAAAAAAAAAACACCCGCATCCAACCTTCCCATCACCTTCTCAAAATGCCCAATGGTAACCTGGCCTTACCACATATTTTTCCATCTTACATAGTGAGTCTACATAGGCTTATCATTTATTTTTTGTGTCCCTCCATTACAGTGGAAACTCCACAGTGACAAAGATTTTAACCTGTTTTACCCTCAGTATACAAAATAGTATCTGGTACTTACTTGATGTCTAAAACTAGCTGTTGAACTATTTTGATGATTAATGATAGATGACTACTACTAGAGCATTAGAAGTAATACAGTGAGATGTCTACACCTGTGTAGCTAAGGGTGAGGACAGAGACAAAATTGCTATACTTACAGATACAGTCACATATCTGTATCTGTAAGTATAGCAATCACATATACATACAGATACAGTCACAGTAAGGATAAGTAAAGCTGAATAGGGCTAGTCATCAAATGAAGGAACAAAGGATGAAAAGTACAATTAAGAATCTATTCTAGTGCTCACTTCAGCAGCACATATCCTAAAAATTGAAATGATATAGAGAAGATTAGCATGGCCCCTGTGATAGGAAGACATGCAAATAAATTCATGAAGCATTCCATATTTTTGAATGATGGACAAGCCACGCAAATTTAAGGGTTCAAGCATACTACATTTTTTGTAGCTTAGTAATAAAAGCAATGTGTTGATTTTAAAAAAAATCTATTCTGAGACAAAGAAAATCTAAGGAAGAAATTTCCTTTATAAAGGGAATTGAAAGAGGACATGAAATCAGTAAAAAAAAAAGATCTAGAAGAAGAGCCCTAAATGGCATTTTTAAAATACTCTAGGACCTACAAAAATACATTATAAGTAATAATGATAACATTAAAGAAGAGATTAATAGGAAAAAATAAATAATTAATAAATTATAAGCATCAATAACAGAATACACACTGCCAGAAACAGAATTAATACCACCACATATCTCACTGCAAGGAGAGCGGAGCAAACCCCATAGATTCCAAGAACTAGAAAACAACTTGGAATGTACAGATCCTGCATAAATATAATTGATTTTTCAGAAGAAGACATAGAAAAATGTCTAGCAGTGAAGAGAGGACTGAATCAGCTTTAAAACTTATGTTCTGGGGGAAAATGCTGAATGCTTGCTACAAGGCAGTTCCTTGAACTTGAGTGTTATCTATCCAGGCAGATAGGCATCAGAAACAAGTCATTTAGAAAGGACAGATAATGAGTTTGTCTCTAGCTTCTCCACAGAAACAGTTCCAGAACTCAACCAGGTTCTGAAAGATAGAGCACTAGATTTTACACTAGCTAAGTTGTCACTCAGGCACTTAAGTCACCGCTGCATAAAAATCCAGAGAACCTATCACTAGGGAAAAGTCAACCGCATGATAGGCAAAGAATGCACCTTACACAGAGGAAACCCAGGCCTCTTTCAATGATGTCTAAGTGTGGGGCACCAGCCCCCACCATTAATTTACCCCAAGGACTCTTGAGGAATGAGGAATAAGAGACTTAGTTAGAAATAGAGGAGAGAGAAACCACAGAATAGACTTGGGTGGGCCTGGATCCTTATCCACCGGCCCAGAACTTTATTCCAAAGGTCTGTTTATAACAATGCCAAGCGGTGGGGCAAAAGACCTCCCCCTTGCTAGTTACAGTCAAGTGTAGACCCTTACAAACACTTGTTACTCAGGCCTTTGGTCCAATTGACCTCTTATGCAGTTCTGGTGGGTACAGTCACTAGGAAACCTATTGGGCTACAACAGCCAAGACCCTGCACCCTCCGTTTTCCCCACTCTTTCCTCCCATTCCATACACTGCCTTCCTTCTGTCCCAGGTTCTCCAACCTGGCTACCTGGTGCTTGATACCCACATCTCCACCATATCGTTGACCTAGTATGATGCTTCAGCCTCTAGGATTCTTTCCCCACATCTGAATACCCTGACCTCTCACCTGTTTGACAGTTCAGTCCTTTGCTGCCCTACCTACAATTCCACAATCTCCCAAGGGCTCCTCCCCCAACTCCCGCCTCTCTACCCGATTTCTCTTGACAATTGTCACCATCTAATCTATTCTATCTTCATGTGTCTTGTTTTTTATTTTGTTTTGTTTTTTCATCTGTCCTCGTCATTTAGACTGTAAGGTTCTTAAGGATACAAATTGCTATCTATGTTGTCTCAGTTTAATTTTTTTTTATTCCTCGAACAGTGGCAGGAACATAGCTAGCATTGGAACATTTACTGAGTGGATAAATAAGTTAGAGTTCATCACTGTCCCTTCCAGTCAGCTCTTTGACACCGTTGACTGGGAATGAAGCCCAGATGAAGGGCTGTTTCATCATGAGTCTGAACACCAGATCTCGTTATGACAAGCTGATGTATCCTCTGCCTTTATGTGAATTGACCCTAACTTTTATTAAAAAGAAAATAAAGGGCTTCTTCAGTGGTGTGGTAGACACAGAATTTGGTATTTATAGAGAATAGTTTTCCAAGAAAATAATCTTACATTCAGAGTCAATGTTGAAATCAGCATCCTCAAGAACAGAGGGCCAGGGTCCCTGCCTATAGGAACTGAAAAGATACTGGATGTTTTCTGACAGAAACCCTATAGAAGAAATTCTCACTGTTTGTGAGAGTCTACACTAGATGATCGCCAGATAAGATATTCCACAATGCTATTCATATCTGCAACATGAGAGCTTTGGACATTTCCGCTTGAGGGTTGAACTAAGCCCTTGCCAACAGGTACCTAGCTGCTTTACTCCGTTTATGAATGGCAGCATTCTTAGTGACAGGAACCTGCACAGCTGGTTGACAGGGTTCGAAGAGTTTTACAGCAATCCCAACAGGAGTCATCCACTGACTATAAGTGACCAACCATATCATCTCTTATGTCTTTTGAAAATCATATTAATTATTAACATGTTCACCATGGAATTTCTCCCATATATACACAGTCCCTGGTTGAAGCAAGATGTCATCTTTCCCAGAGGAAAGTTTGAAAACCTTTGAGAATGAGCAAAGTTTCTAAAGTTGTTTTGCCCTGTACAATTTGGTGGGAGGTTACAGTTTTTCTTGTAACTTATACTAGCAATTGGTGGGGGTTTTGTTGCTTATTTTTGTCTTGGATTGGCTTTGAGATTCCAGGTATTAAACATAAGTCCTCTAGAATACAGAAGACATAGAATCTTCCTCAGTTTCCCCCACACTGGCCTTTAATCCACTGTGTAACCCAGGCAGTCTATAAGAGCAGGAAGAATCAAGTATAGAGTTGAAACACTGCAATTCATCACAGACAGTAGTCTGGAATCTGAGCTAGGGAGTTTGGGACAGTATTTATTGGCAGTTTGTGGCTGTGCTCAAGGTCATGCACCATGACTCTGAAGCTGGGTGATCCAAAGGACTGCCTCCTTTATTTCTCTTGCCGTTCTCCTTCCTTCTTTCCTCTTAAACCTGTCCCACACATGTCCCACCAGGCCAGTCGAGCAGCAAGAATAGTGACAGGTTAGGAGAACCAAAGGGAGGAAAATAAAACCTTCTAGTGTGCCTCACTCAAGTTTGAGTGACCTAAGGGTTCCCATACTCTTGCTCTCATTAGCTCTATAACACCCATGTGCAGCCATTAATCTTTCTAATGTTATAGACAAAACATAAGCAATTTGACAAAATAATTTAGACAGTCTTATTTCAACCTTTTGATATCTTGTGAAAATTCCTTCCAGTCAAAGTGCTAGTAGCTGGCTGAGATAGAGTCAAGAGCCAAGAATTCAAGTTCTATACAGTATTCTACCGTTGCTCTGACTGATTGAAAATAAAATGCTGGTTGGCCAGTAGCCAGGCAGGAAGTATAGTATAGGTGGGCTAAGGAGAGAGGAGAATTCTGGGAAGTGGAAGGCTGAGTTAGGAGACGCTGTCATGAGAAGCAACATGTAAAGATACCACTAAGCCATGAGCCACATGGCATGGTATAGATTAATAGAAATGGATTAATTTAAGATATAAGAACTAGACAGCAAGAAGCCTGCCATGACCATACAGTTTATAAGTAATATAAGTCTCTGTGTGTTTACTTGGGTCTGAGGAGCTGCAGGACTGGTGGGTGAGAGAGATTTGTCCTGACCTTGGACCAGGCAGGACCAGGAAAACTTCAGTTACATTCTACCCTGATAATGTAAACAACAGAAGTAACAGCATTTAGAATGGCCAAGGCAATAATTTTAGAAATAGCATGCTTTGTTCCACTATACAGTCTGTATTCTTCTTACTTTCAATCTTCCTGTATCAAACACCTGCTTAGTATCACTCACATTACTGGGCTTATAAGTTTATCAAGCTGCTGGTGATCCTATGAACACTGGTACAGACTTAGCATTTGATATCTTTTCTTTTTTAGCTGCAAATGCTAATAAAACATAATTGTGGTCTCACTCACACATGCACTTGACATCCCCACTAGAATGAGGAGGGACAGAGGACAATAAAGCTAGGATCTAGGCAATATGGCTGAGAAACATAAACAACATTTAGCTCCCATGTAGCACTTGTTAAAGGTGAATGAGGAGCCACAAGTGTGGGGTGAATCACACCTGGAAACACATAGAATTTCATATATTTGGAAATTCCTCGTGTTCTTTTTCATGTAAGACTTCAGACTTAGAAACACCTTAGTTGATCTAGAACAGTTCTCTGTATACTGTCTCATATGAAAAACTAGGTTTACTGGTCACCTAAATTTAGACCTGCAGACTCTCAAAGTACAGTCCACATCACTGAACAAGAATACATTCTAAAAGATGCATCCTTAAGGCTTCATTGTCATGAAAACAGAGTATTCTTGTCCAACTTACACGACTACCACCACAATACAGTTCTATAAGCCTACTACCATCATGCATTCAGGCATTCAGTTCATTGTTGTCCCAAATGTCATTATACAATACATTACTACATATAAGCCACTGCTGAGGCTGGAGGAAGATGAGCTATTGCTGAAATTATGCCTTTAGATAGAACTTGATTTTATTAACTGCCTAATAGCACATGAGGAAAAAAAACTGAGTGATGTGGACATGTGTCTTCTAAACTACTTATTCTATTTAAATCTTTGCACTTGAAAGTGAGCAATGAACCAGAAGACAATGCACAAGCATGGCTCAAAACTGCACAAGCTTCCCAATATTCCCCGTGAGAGGGAGGATCCCCTTCCCAGAAGAGGCTCAGGAGCTCTCCTTCCTTCCCTTGAGATAAGCAACATGCTTTAATCCAGAACGGAAATCTCTCTCTCATATCCTATATCCTCTGAAGCAAGTCATCCTTCATCCTAGAAGGAAATAGATGCTAAAAGTTATTTTGCCAGGCCTTAAATACATTGGAGGGAGAAAAACTTCTTAGTGGACTCCCTGAGTCAACAGCATGGAAACTGATTCCCAATGGGCAGGACTAGAAATGGCTGTCCCTATGACTAGTGCCTATTTGTGACCTGTAAAGAGCTGTGCCCACCAGAGAGACAAGCAGCCCTTCCAGATGGGAATATCTTCTCTTTGAATCTACAAATTCTCAGGATACAATCACTGTGCTTGAAACATAACATGCTAATACA